ACCACTTCCATTTTCCTTAGGACCAAATCACCCATCTTTAACGGCCTCTTAGACACTCGGCAGTTGTAAGCTCTTGTCATTCTTAGACGGTATATTTCATGTCTAAGTGTCGCGTTGCCCCTTGCCTCTGGAAGAAAATCCAAAGCGGTCTTCATTTCTTCCCAATTGGCATTTTCATCATACAACATCACTCAAAGAATGGTCTTGTACATCTCAATTGGGAGCACTGCCTCAACACCATAAACTAAGAAAAATGGGGTTTCTCTAGTTGAACTCTTTGTTGTAGTACGTATGGACCACAAGATGTTAACCAACTCATCTTCCTACAGGCCACCTACTTTCTCAAGCTTCCGCTTGATGCCGTTGGAGATCAACTTGTTGCAGGCCTCAACTTGGTCGTTGGCTTGGGGACGGCCGACCGAGGCAAAACAGTGAGTGATGCCCTGGTCACTTAGCCATTCCTTGAGTTGACGCATTTCAAACTGAGGTATGTTATCAAATACAATGGACTGAGGCACTTCGTAATGAGTAATAATATTCTTCTAAATGAAGGCTGATACGTCCGTCCTCTTAATCCCACGGACGGCCTCGGCCTCAACCCATTTTGGAAGTAGTCGACAGCTACAAGCACATACCACCTTTGACCGGACGTTAGAGTATATGGCCCTAAGATGTCCATGCCCCATTTTGCAAAAGGGAGGGGGACTGCTTGTGGCCGACAAGCTATTGGCCGGATAATGAATTAGGGTTGCAAACCTCTAACACTTATCACATTTTTCACCATTTTCATGGCGTCCGTATTCATGCTCGGCCAATTATACCCCAGATGGGTACCCTATTCTGCTAAGGCACATCCTCCTATATGGGATCCACAATGCCCTTAGTGGAGGTCGTCCAAAATATCATGCCCTCTTTCCGGGGTGATACACTTCAGATATGGTTTCACATAATCTTTCTTGAACAATTCCCCTCTCTTCATTTCAAACCAGGTTGGTCTCTTCTTCATCAGCCATCTCTCTTTTGGGTCGGCCGAGAGTATCCCGTCCCTTAAGTATGAGACGACTCCATCCATCCAAGAGGAGCTTCTGTCAATGACCTATACTGGCTCGGCATCAATACTCCTCTTTTCTTTTACTTCCTAAAACACTGATCTGGGAGTATCACATGATGCCGAGGATGCTAATTTACGGAGCGCGTCCGCTTGATAATTTTATGAACGGGGGACTTCCTGTAGGGTAAAGTGATCTAGGCTCTAAGCCTCTTCTTTAACCATCTGCAAATATTTCATCATGAATGGCTCCTTGCCTTCATAGTCACCATTCACTTGGTTGACTATTAGCTGAGAGTCCGAGCTTGCGTCAACTTTTGTTGCCACGGCCGAGTCATTTCAGCCAAGAAATCGGCAAAGTCTTGCCACTTGATCGCCCATTTAAGCATACGATCGCTGGCTTCCAAAGTTGCAAACGGCTTCTTGAGTTGCTGGTCCGTATATACCACAATTGAATGCGTTATAAAATACGGTCGTAGCTTCTTTGACGCCATATACAATGCAAGACACAACTTTTCTATTGGGGGTACCTAAGCTCGGCATTATGTAAAACATGGCTGATGAAATATACTGGAATCTGATGGTTGTCCCTTTCGACAAGTAGGACGACACTTAAAGAGTGTTCTGAAATCGCAAGGTACATGTATAACTTCTCATTCTTGAGTGGACTGACGAGCCGAAGCAATGTATGCAAATGGATTTTCAGCTAGACGAAGGCTTCCTCGGCTTTTTCAGTCCACTCAAACTTTTATTTCTTCTTGATAGTCTGGAAAAGGTATCGGCACTTATCCCCTGATCTTGATAAGAATCGACCAAGGGCGATTAAACATCCCATCAATCTTGGCACTTCCTTGATTGTCCTTGGCGACTTCATGTCCAAGATGGCTTAAATTTTCTCATTGTTGGCCTAAATTCTTCGTTAATTAATCAGAAATCCGAGAAATTTGCCGGACTCAACACCTAAGGCACACTTCTTTGGATTCAGCATCATCTTACGTCACCTATGTTCGCTAAATGTTTCTCGAAGATCTTTTAGATGTTCAACCGGCTCCTTCGACTTGACTATCATGTCGTCAATGTATGCTTGACGAGTTGTGGAAATAGGTCATTGAGACTAATCCTCCCTCTGTCAAACTAAATTTATAAACACTTAACCAACCTAAATACTAGTATAGAGGCAAGCTAAGGGTGGAACCCAAAGGAACGGTAATGTTCAAGCGCTCTCAATTATGCGCCTAAGCTAGGTCGAAGTCTAAGGATTAAAGGTAAACAGTAACCAAATAACAAGACCAAGAACCAAACAAATAAAGCACTAGGAACGGGGATCAACAAGTAATCATGACAATTGTAGCAACTCGGGAGCAATATGCAAATCAATGGTTGTAAAGAAAAATGGCAAGCTCAATCAAAAGAGTCAACAAGCTATCTCCTAGAGGTCAAACTAGCGCCAACTACGAGAGACTCTAACTAGGAGCATCACTAATCAAGCTTAATCGACAATTGCAATTCCAAAATCAATGGTTCGTATCATTAGAAACTACAATGCAATCTAGCATAATTCTCAAGGCCTAATCGAATTACACACATGCAAACTTCCATTAATCACTTTAATCTCAACAATTATTTAACATAATCCCCAAATGAAGCACAATCAATCAATCATACAAGCTTCACCCAATCCCTAGCAAACAACTACTCTAACAACATCATCTAATCATAAACAACTAAAGAAAACAAGAATTAACAATCTATGAAGAACAAATACACTAATCAAAGATCAAACATCAAAATCAAATCAAATAAATAAGAATATTAAACAAAGCATTAAAATGAGATAGAGTTAGAAATTCTCATTGATAATAAAGAAGATCTTCAACACAATTGTCACCATTGAATCTTCAATCTCTCAATCACCATTGAAATTCCTCACTTTCTCTCTCTAAAATCTACTCCTAAATTAACCCTAAAAACTAGAGAGAGAACCCCTCAACTAAGCGAAGAATATTATCTAAAATCTAAATGAAACTTGCTCTGAAACTTTCCCCAAAAATCGGGTTACAAAGATATATATATAGGAGGCGCAAACAAAAACCGAGCAAGATGAATACCCAGAGAGGCGCGGCCGCGCGGGCAAGGAGGCGCGCCCACTGATCTGGGTTTCTTCGATCTTTCACGCTGCTTCATGCGTTCGCTAAGGTCTTCGAATGAACGCGCAATATGATGACGATGAGCACTAAGTGAGGCAGTCAAAAAAGCACTTGATTGTGGGTTAAACACCCCATCTTCATGAGAGCATGGCTTGAGAGCGCAAGAGCTAAAACTTGGAGAATCCATTTCCTTGCATCTTGAGCTTTCCAATTGCCATGAGTTCGCTCCAAAAGCATCTTCCATCTTAGTAAATCACCAATATCAAGACTCGAACCTGGTCCAATACCTACAACCACGAAAATAGAGCAAATATAGGAGAAAAGAGTAGAAAAACCAACAAAATGCACAAAAGCTACAAAATAAGATAGGAAAGGTAAAACTAAGACCCAATGCATAAAACTAAGCATTTATTAAGCATGAAAGGCATGAAAAGAAGATGAAAACAACTCAAATTCTCATCAAATAGGTGCCATTTATGACACCCATATTATCAATGCTTCTATATTACGGCCGATCTGATCTCTAAAGGCCGTATTCACAAGTCTTTGAAAGGTAGTAGGGGCATCCTTGGGGCCAAATAGCATGACATTATAACAATACAACCCTTTCTTGGTTACAAACGCTGTTTTCTCTTGATTTTCTTCCCACAATAGGATCTGGTGAAATCCGGAGTATGCATCCATAAAGCTTATAGGAGCATGTCCGGTCGTAGAGTCAACCAATCGATCAATCTTAGGTAAAGGAAAGCTATCCTTCGGACACGCCTTGTTGAGATCAGTGTAATCTACACACATTCTCAAAGTTCCATTTGGCTTCTTTATTAGTACAACATTGGCTACCAAATCTGGATAGTAACATTGACGAATGAAACCGGCGTCCAGAAGATTTCTTACGTCGGCTACGGACGCCTGATTTTTCTCTTCCCTGTGATTTCTCTTTTTCTGTCGGATGAGCTTAATAAGTGGATTTTCAGCTAGCTTGTGCATGGCCAGGTCTTGGCTGATACCTAAAATTTTGCTTACTTCAAATGCAATTACATCCTTGAATTCTCTCAACAACTTGATTAAGTCATCTCCAAGCAAACTCGCAGCTATAGTGCCAACTTTGACTATCCGATCAGGTTGATCGGGGTTTATCCCTACATCTTGATGATCACCGGTCGGCTGGGGTCTCAAGTCTTCCAGCCGACCGACGATCATTAACTGTTATGCTTCGTTGACCATGGAGAGCTTGCGCTTTTGGCCGACCTGGTATGCTTGAAGTAAGGCTTCTTCCCCTTTTGGCTCAGACGATCTTCCCTATCTGCGAGTTGTTGGCTTTACCGCTAGTTGATTACACTCTTTTGCCCCCCTAAATAAAATTTTTCTAGATTTGCCCCTGAGTTTGAAGACTGTTTCATCATAGATTCCTCTAGAGAAAAGTCTCACCTTAAGAGTTAAGAGAACGATCGGTTTTTCATCTCTCTTAAACTAGAGAAAACCTCTAGTTCTTATCATCTATTTAAGCTTTCATTTAGAGAGTTTCTTTCAAGAAGGAACATTATCCTCTTAAATGTTATATGTAAAATGAGTTATTTTTCTATTAAAAATTAAAGCTTCATCATAAACACAATAGAGATTGTTTAATTAGAGACTATTGTCTAAGGTAGGAAACGAATTAGATATGTGATGTGCCTTATCTAAGGAAGACGGGGATGGGGTTAGCTAACATGGTAAAGCTGGAAGCTCAAAAACCTAGAGGTTTCATTGTCAACTAAGTTCATCTATTGGTCAAAACTCTCTATTTCGAATTAAAATTTCGAAGCATGCATGGTGAAATATTAAACTTTAATGTTAGGCAAAATGTGCTAATTGATTTTAAAGCTGGGGGTTTATTCTATACTTGGAATAATAAGCAGCAAGGGAGTGATAGAGTGTGCACAAAGATTGATAGGATCTTGGTTAATGAGCTGTGGAATGAAAACTGCAGGGAGTTTGGAGCTGATTTCTTGCCTGAGGGATTAATGGATCATTGTCCTTGTATTATGAGATTGTTTGGGAGTAATGGGAATGTTAAGAAACCTTTCAAGTTTTTTAATATGTGGATTGATGCTCCAGGCTATCAGAAGCTGTACAACAGGCTTGGAATAGTGATGTGAGAGGAACTGATATGTTTATTATGGTGAAAAGGCTGCAAAAGGTGAAAGAAGCTCTCAAGGTGTTAAAATTGACTAATTTCTCCTCAGTGGAGAGTGCAGATGCCAGTGCTGATGCTGAGTTAGCAAGGGTGCAGTGTCATCTGAACAATGATCCTCAGAATTCGGAGTTGATTCAAATGGAAAGTGATGCCAGGTAAAGGTTCTTAGCTGCTCATACTGCAAAATTGAAGTTTTTGAATCAGAAAGCCAAGTTGCATTGGATGAAAGAAGGTGATATTAACTCTTCCTACTTTAATGCCTGTATTAGGAAGAGAAGATAGCATAATAATGTGTACAGCATCCAGCTTGAGAATGGTGATTTCATTCAGGACCCTAATAAAATAGCAGAAGCTTTTATTGGTTTCTATAAAGAATTATTAGGCACTGGTGGGATCCCTTCTACACAAGTCCATCAAGCTGTTATAGATGCAGGCCCTATTGTGAATAATGAGAAACATCTGAGTATTTGCAGAGAGTTTACTAAGGAAGATGTGAGAAATGCTGTGTGGAGTATTGAGGATGACAAGGCACCTGAACCTGATAGGTTCTCCAGCAAATTTTTTAAGAATCCTTGGGGAGTGGTGAAGAATGAGGTGTGTAAGACAGTTTTGGGATTCTTTGAGCATGGTCAGCTGCTGAAACAGGTGAATGCAACTACTATGACTCTGGTACCTAAATTAGATAATGCTACTAGAGTTACTTTGTTTAGGCCAATTGCATGTTGTAATGTGTTGTACAAGATCATTTCTAAGATGTTGTGTGAAAGGTTCAAAGAGGTGATGCCTGGTTTGATTAGTGAGAATCAAAGTGCTTTTATTGCTAGAAGATCTATTTTGGACAACATCTTAGTGTGCCAGGATATGTTAAAAGAGTACAATAATAAGAGAAAGTCTCCTAGATGTACTATTAAGGTGGATTTGAGGAAAGCTTATGGTTCTGTGCACTGGTCTTTTATTCATGATATGCTGCAGGCTTTGAACTTCCCAAGTAAATTCATATCTTGGGTCATGGAGTGTGTTACTTCCCCTTCTTTCTCTATTATGATTAATGGTGGTCTGAATGGCTTTTTTAAGGGCAAGAGAAGGATCAGGCAAGGTGATCCTATGTCACCATTGGTGTTTGTCATTGTGATAGAGTACCTATCAAGATTGCTTAAAAAAGTGGGGGCAAAGAGAGGCTTTAGATTCCATCAAAGATGCAAGTCTTTAAGGTTAAAACACTTAATTTTTGCTGATGATTTGATGTTATTTTCCTATGCTGATAAGAAATTTGTCTCTTTTCTAGTAAGGGCTCTTAAAGCTTTTGAGGGTTGCTCTGGTCTACAGGCTAATGTTGATAAATCTGCTATCTATTTTGGGAGTGTGCAGCCTGAAGTGCAGCAAGGAATTGTGACTGAGTCTGGTTTGGTAATAGGAGAAACTCCTTTCAAATATCTTAGCATCCCTTTGAATGCTAAATATTTGAGAGTCTCAGAATTTGATGTTATAGTTTATAAGATGCTGACTAGAATAACCTGTTGGTCTAGCAGAAATAGAGGTGTCCACCGTGCGAGTCGTGCGAGCTGGGTTAGGGTTAGGTGGGTCGCGGGTTGGGGTTTCATGACACACGGCACGACACACGTAGGGTAGGGTGGGCCGGGTCGTGGGTTGGGTCGGAGAAGTTGGACACACCAGGGTTAGGTTCGTGGGTTAGACGAGTCGTGGGTGGGTCGAGCTGGGTTTGTGGGTTAGACGGATCGTGGGTGGGTCGAGCTGGGTTTGTGGGTTAGACGGGTCATGGGTGGGTCGAGCTAGGTTCGTGGGTTAGACGGGTCAAGGTGGGTTAGTGAGTTAGGGTGGGTCGAAGGGTGGGTTAGTGGGTTAGGGTCGGGTGGGTTTGTGGGTTAGGTGGGTTAGGGTCGGGTGGGTTAGTGGGTTAGGGTCGGGTGGGTTTCTGGGTTAGGTGGGTTAGGGTCGGGTGGGTTTGTGGGTTAGGGTTGGGTGGGTTCGTGGGTTAGGGTCGGGTGGGTTGTGTGGTGTTTTAATTTTTACAAAATTAACAATTTGATGGCTTGCTCTTAATTAAGATGCCTACGTATCCTTATATTATAAAATAAGGAATCAAAGCCAGCGTAGTTCTTATATTGTACTTCTTTTGAAATTTGGGGGGGGGGGCTTGGACCTATCTTTAGAAAACTAAAATTTAATTTTGCAATTAAATTGTAATTTTCGAAAAATAAGTTGCCTACGTATCCCGAAAGAATCAAAGCCCACGTAGTTCTTAGCGTACCTGATTTAGACTTTTCTAGCCACCCATGTTTGTTGCATCATCATCCCCGGAAGCTGCATCATCCGTTGACGACTCCAATATCATCACAAGATCATCTTCATCGTCTTCGTCTTCCTTTAAACCTTGAGTTCTTCTTTCAGCTTGATCCCAATCTTTCTTACAAACACAAATTTGAATGCTTTCCGGAGTTAAGCGAGATCTTTTTTCATCTAACACTCTTCTACCTGCACTAAAAGCAGACTCGGAAGCAACAGATGAAGCGGGAACTGCAAGTATATCTTTTGCAATTCTCGCCAATATAGGAAAACTTTTTTTATGTTCTTGCCACCATTTTATAATTTGAAAGTTGTTGTTGGTCTCATGTTGATATGACAAATAATCATTAATAGCAAGTGTTGAAGAAGATGATGATGAGAATGATGTAGATGCTTTGTGTTTTTTTTTTCATAACTTTATCAAGAAAACCAAATCTAGAATCGGAAGTGCTAGTAGTAGTTGGTGTTGCCAAATCAAAACCATAAATAGATGCATAATGATCATAAAGGTCTCCCAAAACAGATTTGCATTTGTTAATATATTCACTAACATCATAATCGATACTTAAACTTGTATAATAAAATTCTAAAAGATTTTCCAAACCTTCAGCTTTGACACCGGGGTCAAGAATAGCAGCAATTCCATAAATGATTGGAAATTCACTAAAATAAGTATGCCACTTACGTTTCATGCTATCAAGAACGGGACGAAGTCCATCAATCCTCATATGCTCTTCGATGGTGTGAACAACTTTAACACACTCAATTATGACTAAATGAACGTTAGGCTCATAAATATAAGAGAAAATATGAGTTGCACTATCAAAAGCATTTAAAACATCACGAACAAAAGAAGCATTAGTCCAATGACTTTCGGTTATTAACTCAGTAGGATCAACACGAGTCTCATTGTAAAGTTGGGTCAAAATATCACGATACTTTATAGCATCACTCAACAACTTGAAAGTAGAATTCCAACGGGTAGGGGTATCAATAGACCATTGTCTTTTCTTAAGACCTCTCTCTTTACACATAGCTATGTACTTTCTTCTAACTGACTGAGTAATCCTAATCCATTTTATAACTGTTCTAATTGGGTTTAGCAATGGTTGCAACTCAGCGAGACCCTCTTGAACAGACAAATTCAAAATATGAGCACAACATCTAACATGCAAGAGACTACCACCCAACAACAAATTCAACTCGGAGTCATTTTTCAAATAGTCAATACACTTTGTGTTTGCAGTTGCATTATCAAGAGACAAAGAAAAAACTTTATTATTCAAGTGAAATTCTTTTAAACAATCCAAAATACGAACTTTGATGTTAAAACCGGTATGCCTTTCTTCCATAGCTTGAAAACATAGTATACGTTTTTGAATAAACCAATCATCATCCACCCAATGAGCAGTAATGCAAAGAAAAGGTTCGCCAAAACTAGAAGTCCATGTATCACTTGTAAAACTAACACGACCATCAAAAGTACGAAATAATTCAATCAAACCACTCCTATACTTATAATAAGAAGTTTGTGTATAACGTCTTAGGGTATTTCGGGGGACACGAGTAAATGCAGGTTGTAATGCAACTTTATTAAAATGCTCAACGTTTGCATTTTCACCGTAACTAAAAGGGTATTCATTAGCAATAACTAAAGTACTCATTTCATCAATCATTCTATCTTTATTATAAATGAAAGGTGTACCTCCGCCGGGTTGGTTCATGTATCCACCCAATTGTGTTTGGACGCCACCCCCCGAAGGACGGGGGCCATTTTCGAACAAGTCGTGTTTATTTTGCAAATGCCGACTCAAGGTTCCGGTTCCATCTCCCGTTTTCCAATTATATGACTTGACATTTGCACCTAGCACCTTGCAAACTAGGCATGTACACGTGAACCTCTTTGGTTGACCAGGTTGCCATCCCGGGGGTGTGACCTCAACTCGTTCAAAATGTTTCCACACCCAAGAAAAATGTGCTCGACCTCTACTTTCACCGCCACCACCTTTCATAAATCAAATTATTAAAATTAATTTTTAAATGCTATTCATGAAAATAAGCTTTTAAATTTTAAATATTTTAATTATACTTATTTAAACGCATTTTTCATGGTAATTAACTAATTGTAAATCATAGAAAATTGGAAACTAAACTAACTTTATAATCATTAATAATAGTTTTTTTAAATATTCATAACAATAAAAATTTAATTAGAAATTACCTTGAGATGAAGGTTGAGATGTTGGTTGCGATGGAGGTGGCATAGTTGAACTTGATGATTGGTGGGACTCGTGGGAGAAATGTTGTGGTGGAGACGTTTGAATATTTTGCCTATCTCCTAAACCATAATCTCCATATTCATTGACAAATTGGTTTAAATTTTCCGTATTAATTTCATACGAAAAATTTGCACCACCACTCCTTTGGCTACCACTTCGACCACCACTTTGACTCCTTCCCATTCCTCCTCTTGAGCTCATTTTTTTTTTGTATGATTACTAATTATAATATGGAGAAGAACTTTTTTTTTTAGAATCTTAAGAATACTAATAATAATATTAAGGAGATTTTTTTTAACAAAAATATAACTCTATATAACACTTGAGAATTTGAGAACAATAAGAATTTTTAAGTAAGAGAGAAAGAAAGCTTGAATTTGTGTGGAAATTTGAGTGAAATGGAATTGGTATTTATAGGAAAAATAGAATGGATGATCATACACTTAAAAAACTAGCCGTTAGATACAAAAAACTAGCCGTTAGATACAAAAAACTAGCCGTTTTTTTTTAAAAATGGATGTTAGGCCGTGCGGGCCGTGCGGGTCGTGCGAATTGTGCGGGCTGTGCGGGCCGTGCGGGTTGTGCGGGCCGTGCGGGTTGTGCCGGCCGTGCGGGTTGGGTGGGTCATGCGTGCGGGTTGGGTGGGTCATGCGTGCGGGTTAGGTGGGTTGGCTCGTGCGGGTTGGGTGGGTCATTCGTGCGGGTGGGCCGTGCGGGCTAGGTTGTGCCAGGTGGGTCGGGTTAGGTGGGTTCACGGGCTAGGTGTGTCGAATTAAATGAGTCAAAACGGGTTGTGCGATTTGGGTCGAATCAAACGGGTTAAACTGAGCTGGGTTGAAATGGGTTGTGTCGAAAATTTTGGACCCACGACACAACCCGGATTAAATCCGAGCTGTGCCGGGCTGTGCCGGATTGAAACCGGGTCGGACCCACGTGACCCACCAGCCGTGCGAGTTAGGGTGGGCTGGGTCCAACCCGGCCCACTGGCCACCTCTAAGCAGAAACATGTCTTATATTGCAAGAGTTGTGCTGGTGAACTCTGTTCTGATTAGTTTGCACACTTATTGGGTTCAGTGTGTGTTGTTACCTACGTCAGTCATCTTGAGGATTACTCAGCTGTGCAGAGCTTTTCTTTGGTGTGGAGATGTTGTTTTGTCTAAGGCCCCCCCAATTGCTTGGGATTGGGTTTGCAAAAGCAAAGCTGAGGGTGGCTTAGGAATTAGAGACTGTGGGATGTGGAACGGGGCAGCTTTGGGGAAGTATGTGTGGAAAATAGCTAAGAAAGAAGATTCTCTTTGGGTGAAATGGGTTCATGCTGTGTACATTAAAGAACAAGACTGGTGGACTTATAGTCCTAAGAGATCTGCAGGTTGGGCTTGGAGGAGATTATGTGAAGTCAAGGAATAGTTAAAAGAAGGTTTTGAGCAAAATAGTTGGTTGAATGGTACTTATAGAATATCTGAGTGCTATAAGTGGCTGCAGGGAACTGGAACTAAGGTGGATTGGTGTAAATGGGTATGGAATAAGTTCAATATTCCCAAGCATTCGTTTATACTATGGCTTGCTATGCATGATAGACTCAGAACAAGAGAGAAGCTCTGGAAATATGATGTATGTGCTGAAGATAGTTGTTTGTTGTGTGGTGCTAGTATTGAGGACAGACAGCATCTGTTCTTTAATTGTAGATACAGTCAAGAGTGTATGCAGAGAATTTCTCATTGTCTCCATATTCCAATTCAAAACTTCTGCATTGATGAGGTTTGGATTAATTGGCTCAGAGCAGTGAAAGTAAGGTGCAGCAGAAGGTGGTTCTGGCAGTTCTTGCTTGTGTTGTCTATCATATTTGGTTTGCTAGGAATGCTGCTTTCTGGCAGAAAGATGTTATTCACCCTTCAAACCTGTGTAAGGGTATTGGTAGGGTGAGCATGGATAGAGTCAAGCAGCTTATAAACAAGAAGTGGAGTAGATTGCAGTGCAAGTGGATTCAGGAGTTGTGCAACAGCATCCCAAACTAGTTTCTGTTTTGAGTGCATCTGTGTTTTTGTTGTTTTCTTGTTTTATGTTTTAGTCCTTTTCAGTTGTGGTCTGTGTCCTTCCTAGAAGGCAGCAGACTGCTTCTGATCAGGTTTTGCTTTAATCTCTTTTAGTTGAACCCTTCCTAGAAGGTGGCAACTAAGGAGTTTAAAGCTTGAGGTTGGGGTGGCCTTTGTTTTAGGTCTTTTGTAGTTTTGGAGTTGCCTTTTTTAAGCTTGTAAAATTTGTACATTTGTACAGTTTTTTTGTTGATAGTAATATACTTTCTTACTTACCAAAAAAAAAAACTTTAATGTTAATTTATTTTGATATGTAACTAGTAGAGTAGTAATAACTAGTATCACTGATAAGTGTCATTTATGAAACATTTTAGGGTGTTTTTCTCCCTTTGTTTTAGGTTTATTTTGGTCTTTCTTTGTTATTTCTAGTCCTTTTAGTCTTGTTTTGATTAATATTGGCTTGGTTTATATTTTTAGGCCTTAGTTGTGAATAATGCACTTTTTGCTCGATTTCTAGCTTTATTTGCGTGCTTTTCTATGTGATCTTTAACTCTTTTCTCTCTTGGTCTATTTGTATAGGTACTTAACACGTTCCTCGATTTTGAATGATGACCCGAGGGAAGGCCAAAAAATTACATTAGAAGGAGCAAAGAACCAAGCAACAGCAAAAGGAGCAAAGAACAAAGCAAGAAAGCAGCCACTGTGGTGGAATCTACTGTGATATGATGGCAGTTGCCGTGAAACGGTGGGAACAGTCGTACTGTTACATGATGGTCCCTTTCGTGGTACCTGCCTTTGTGCGGCATCTTAGTTTTGTCCACCGCGGGCACGGTGCTTCGATTTTCAAGATTTTTACTTCGACCAATAGATTCCCAGAGATACCTCTCTGCGAGCACGGATGTGGCCGCCGCAGGTCCGGTGTTCTGTGTTTTTCACACCAATTAAACTACGATTTTCCTCCTTTTTCTTCTTGTAATATAAATAGGATGACTGCTTTAGACTTCATTAAGCAAGTTTTTACATTTTCTCTCTTTTTTGTAAGGATTAATTAGGTTTAGATTAGGATTTTCTATCTCTAGTTTATGATTAGTTTTGAAGAGAAGAAAGCTTGGATTTCAATGGAGATTTGAAAGTTTGAAGAAGCAACTTTGTGGATTCTCTTCTCAATTATTTAATGAGTTTTTCTAACTTTCTCTCACCTTTAATACTTTTTTTAATTCTTGTTTTTGCTTAATTCTTTTTTATTTAAGTAGTTGATTAGTTTACTTGTTTTATTCTTGATTTAATTCTTGTTTTCCATCTTCTTTTTCATTATGATTGCTTAGATTTTGTTCTAGGGAAATGAATGAAGGTTATGTTTATGAATTGAATGGTTGATTGTGATTAGTATGCAATTTATTCTTAATTATTGTGTATGGATATGATGATGCTTACATGGATTAGAATTTTTTTAGCTAATTGATTCTAGGTTCTTAATTGTGCTTTAAATCAATTGTATTCGGAAGTGAGTTGGTTGAGAGTCTAGATTTTTCCATGCCTATGCTAGGCTAGTTGCACGGGAATAAATTAACCTAGTAGGATAATGAGCATGCTTAATTGCGCGGGAGTGAGTTGAATGCGTTAATTGTTCCTAATTGTGATCATAACTATCTAATTGCAATTTGTTGTTGAATTCATTAATGTAATTAGATTCCATCTTCCCTAAGCTAGCATTTTGTTAATTGCTTTAAGTAATGTTTTAGTGTTCCTCTCTCTATCTCACAACCTTTCCCACTAGTTTAATTAGCTCAAATGAATACATTTAGTCCTCGTGGTTCGACTCCGGACTCGCCTCTACGCTTCCTTAGTAGTTAGTTAGGAATTTATAAATATTGTTTGATATTAGGAGGTTAGTCAACGACCTAACCCTCACCTACTTATCAACCACTAATAATAATTAATTAAGAAACAAGAAAATTTTAATGTCATAAAAATTCCATTTTTTGTGTAATAATATTGAGTTAGTTGGTCATAATCTCTCCTGATTCTAATGTAGTCAACCGTGTTGAGTTTGGTAAGCCTAGCACTATGGCCGTTGAGAAGGAGATGAAGTTATTTCTCCATATTAGACTGATAATAGTAGGGATGGAAACGGATCAGACTCGGAGCGGATTACGCTAAATCCGACTCCAACCCTACAGGAAGTCGGAGGCTAAATCCGACTCCGACTCCAGACTCCGACCTCCGACTCTCATCCGACCCGACTCCGAGTTGTTTTTCGCTATTCAATATACTTTTAGAAATTGGGCTATTTGGGCCTTTACAACCCACACCCAATGCCACCAGACCCACACCAAAATCCACGATCTATCATAGTCGACGTCAGATAATCCGTCATAGTCGAACATTTGTCGAAGTCATATTTATTTCTCCAATTTTTCGTAAGATCCGACTCTGACCCTCCTCCGACTCGGAGTCGGATGATTTTAACGGAATCGAACTCAGATTACTTTTTTGTCTGACTTAGAGCGGATTTTTTATCTCGAATCGAAGTAGAGTAGGATCGAATCGGGACTGGATTGCCATCCCTAGATAACAGCAATGAAGGTTCATGTATTACAAAAGGAAATGAAGTTCTTGCCAGAGACAAATTTACCTAATTTTGATGAAGTGAAATTCGTAGTATCTATTGAAGATTATCCCATGAATCTTGAACCCTGTTTAGGGTAAAAATTACCCTAGACAGGTGTCCCAATTAGAGAAGGCCACATGACAAGATCAGACTGACTCAAGTGGCCTTCTTGCCATTTGACACGTGGCTCCTCCAGATAGGATATGAAATGGCGGCCTTCAAAGGCCCAAATCCCAAGAGAACGTCGTAATTCGGCGCAGCCCACCACAATCTAGGTCAAGTGACCTAGATAGGGGCACATTCTCCAATGACCCTATAAATAGAGAGATATTTCCCCATTTTGGTGACACATTCAATCATTTATTACACCTACATTCTCTCTCAACATTGAAACACCTGAGCTTGGAATCCAAGCAGATCCCCACCTAAATTTCCGCACTCTTTATTCTCTTTCAAGTTACTAACTTGATCTTCAGAGGCGGAGCTCCAACCACCCGGAGTCTTCGTTGTTTTGCAGGTACAACTCAGCCGGACCAATCTTTGTGACGTAACTCTCCCGAGGGACAAAAACCCCCCAAAAAATTTGGGGCCGTCTGTGGGGAGAGTACCTCAGGGATGATTCAAGAGTCTATACCACCTCCTAAACGTCCGGTCGACGAAGATCCTCGGGTCGAAACTTATATAGCCGAGGATGGCTCCTTGATAACCAAGCGCATTCGGCCCAGAGTTACTCTGGAGCGGGGTGCCAACTAGGCGGGTACAAATCGACCCCCTAGGCAGCCGGAAGGGGAAACCCATACGGCCAGTGGATCATCTCCCGTCACTCGAGACGAACTCATGAAGTTCATGACAAGTTTCAAGGGTGAAATTAAAGATCTGATCTCTAAGAGCCAGGCTGGCCCAAGTAGGGGTCAGTCGGCAAAAAAGACTCCTCTGAAGAAGGGGAAGTCAGTCAGAGACCGGCAGCCAACTCCTCATCCAAAGGAGAAGGCAGCCGGGACCATTGATTGGTCCAAAATTCTTCTGCCTAAGAGGAATGCCAACAATCCCCGCCGTACTTAACAACCGTTGGGAAGCAAAAAATCAACTCTTGACGCCAGGGAGATCATCACCCGCAAGAGAAATAAGCAATTTTCTAAGTCGACTTCTACGTCGAACTTTCCAGACAGCTTCAACAACACTTCTGCAGGGAATGTACCTTCCTTGCATGAGAGCCAAACAAGCGGTAATACCGTCCATTCTGGTCCTCAGATGATTAGGACTGCACCGTATGTACCTTCTCAGGTCTACGGTCAGTATTCTCCCTATTTCATGCAGTCGGCCCTCTTTGGAGGTCAGGCGGCATACAACAATATCCAGCCTCTGGACTGGCAGCTTCGTCTGCTCCGCCTAGCTGAACAACCTTCTACGTTCACCCGGGAGATAACCGAGACGGCACAGCCATCCAAGGTTAAAAATGTGTTGGTAGGCACCTATGATGGTACCTCCAACCCAGAAGATCACCTCATAGCTTACACCAACCTCGTGTACTTACAAGGGTTGGATGATGCCACATGGTGTCGATGCTTCCCGGCTACATTAAAGGGCATCGCCCAACAATGGTTTGGCAACCTGCCAACTGGGTCCATTGATAGTTTTAGGAAGCTTGCCTTCATGTTTGCTTCCAACTTCTCGATGGACATCCCTGCGAAGAAAACAAGTCTTGACTTAAGCACCATTAAGTAGGGGGATAGAGAAGGATTGCGCTCCTATGTCAGGCGGTTCAATCTGATCAGAATTCATATTCAAGGACTGTTTGATGAGGTAGCTTTTACAGACTTTTTCAAGGGTTTGAGAGACGGGTCGACTTTTAAGTTCGACCTAGTCAGAAAAGGGGCTTTCACTTTACAAACGGCCCTGAGGGAGGCGAAAAGCTATATTCAAGAAACCGACCTCTGCTCGCCTGGTAACCAATCGGACTCTAAGAACTCTGACAAACAGAAAGACAAGCGATCTACTCAGCCGACCAAGAAGAAAGAAGAGAGCAAGAAAAGAAAAGAAGTATGGGCGGTTAGTGATTCTAACAAGCCGTCTCAAAAGAAGATGAAAGAATTTAAACCGTACGTTCCTAAGTACGAGTTTAACAAGGACTGCAATTCCATCCTCATGGAGATCAAGGACCAGATGTCCCTAGAGAAGCCGAATCCAATGAAAAGTTCCATTTAACCAAGGAACAAAAATAAATTCTGCCAATACCATGAGGAAGTTGGCCATGACACCAAAGACTGCTTCAGCCTTTAACGGGCGTTGGACCGTCTAGCTTACAAGGGGATGTTAAAGTCTTATATCTCTAAGTCCAAAGGGACTAATAAGAAGAACCTTGGGCAGTCGTCTAAGACAACCCATCCTGCTAGTAGTTCGGACACTGATAAGGAGTCGGTCTACACCATAGCAGGTAGGTCCTCATGCGGTGGCCCTACCATCTGGGGCACCAAGAGCCATCTTCGAAAGATG